TTATTAGCGCTCTAATCATCAGAAAAATATAATCTCTTATTTAAAGTATTCAAATGAAAAGTGAAATTATTTTATTAAAACTTATAAAATAATGTTAATATTGAAATAAATAAACAATTTTACCGGTAAACAATATTTTTTATTACCTGAATTCATCGCAAATAAGTATTTCCCATTTTAGGAGAACCCGATTTTGACACCTATTCTACAACAATCATGAAATGTGAACTTTGAGTTCAATAATGTATTTTTGACACCAATTTGCCTGTTTGTATGAATTAGTGTTTTAATAGTAAAAGTACGGTACTGTAATAATTATTGCATAAAAAGTAAGTAAGTGTTATTAAGTAAGTGTTATTCTATTGTTATGAGCGTTGATTTGATTTATTAAATTTAAAATTTTTTAAATTATTTAGTTTTTAAAATACATAAATATTTGAAACCAAATCTAACCGTCATTTCATAGTTTCAACAGTTTTTATAAAACAAACATTTCTTCGGAAAAGTAATCAAATAATAGACACAACTGTTGAAGAACTCAGAGACAAGACATGAGTGGAAGTGATGGTCAGTCGGATCATGTCTTCAACGATGACGAACTGTTCCTAATCTTCAGACACATAGATATCGTTAAATTGTTTTCACTGCAAAGAGTGTCCCAACAGTTCCGCAAATGTGCGCAAAAAGCATTGGCGGCGAAGACAGACCTCAGTATTGGCGAAGACCTCAGAGCGTATTATAATTATTCTTATTATAAGTTTGTGTCCATTGAGTTGATGGCAGTCCTCACGAGTAATTCAAGAAATCTTTCGGATCACTTGGAATTGGATTCAATACTTCAGATCTTTCGTAGTGTTAAGACATTGTATTTGTCGAACGTTACCGTCGACTATGAGGTGATGGAAATGATTGTCAATCGTTTACCACAACTCCAAAGCATATACTTGTTGTGCGTTTCCATCAATCGATCAACAGAGAGAACAGTCACTGAATGGACACAACTCTTATCAAAAGTCACACATTTTGAGTTCAACTCTAATGATTTTAGTAATGATATTCTAACGTTTCCTTTTATACTTAATGTCATCCGAGAGTTACCATCGCTTCAAAGTTTAGCTATAATTAAACGCGAAATCAATCCATCATTTGTGGCCGATTGCATACCGAAAGACATTCGGGTCTTAAAGTTAGATCTAATGTTTAAGATGAACTCACAGGCCATCGACGTTGTGATCACTAAATGCAATCAATTGTTGGACATAACTATCGGTTGTCGTAATCTCACTTCACAACAGTTTATAACAATTTGCAATCGTTTTCCACGACTTCAAAGACTTGTTATTGAATTGGAAACCATTTCGAGTGAACAGTTGGCCACAAATCTATCAAAATTACGTGATTTGAGATATTTTTCATTGAGATCTATTTGGATGACTTTTGACACCAATGTTATGATGTATTCAATGCAACCATTGATTAGTCTTCGGTCTCTGAGATTATGTGATGTCAACTGTTCGGCCAAACGGTGGACACAATTGCCAGAACTGGTGCCAAATGTGACCAAAATAACACTAATTCGCATCCATTGTCGCAATGACTGCAGTTTTCTCGACGATTTCTTTATCGCCAAACAATGTGTGCATTCGTTGATGCAATCAGTGCTCAAAGTATCGAAACTAAGACATCTGGAAATCGACATGAATTTACATCAGTTTATGTTAAAGACATTGAATTTATTCAAACCATTGGATTCATTAGTTTTACGCTACACTCCATGCGATCCGTCTCAAGACTACAAAACCATTGAATTCATCGATAGTTTGTTTCAATTCCTCACCAAAACATTGGCCGACAAGAAGACAGTCTTTCGCTTATATTTAACTGACGGAGAAGTCGAGTATTTGAGAATCATATTCGAAGCAATTAATGTCAAAATCCCAGACAACGTTCGGCTCATTGAATACAATGACGATATTTAATTCTATTTGCTATTCAATTCACTATTAAATTTATATGCATTGAAATTCTTATTTTAATGTTTTATAAAAGTGGCGTAAAAATGAATATTCAGTACACATTGAATGCAATAAAATTCTTAAATACATTATGAAATAAAATACAAATATTAAAACAATTAAATATAAATTGAATGAATTGTTTAGTCGTCGGAATAATTGTTGCGATACTTATGAATGCAAACGACTACTACTTGTTCTCCTTATTCTTGCGATCGGTTTTGTCTTTTTTGTCGCGTTTTTCCTTCGCTTTGCGGTCTCTATCGGAACCGCTTTTTCCCAACGCTTTCTTCAATTCTTTAGTCTTAGTTTTCTCTTCGATGATAAATGCGTCCAAATTGGCCGTCAATTCATTGATGCCTTTTCTGTCGATATTAACGCTATTTTCAAATTTGTCGCTCATTTCTGACAATTCGTTTCCATATAATCTCTGCTTTTCTTCAACTCTAATGAAAGATAGAAACAAAAGAAAGTAAATATGCATTCAATACATGTTTGATGTCAAACACAAAAGTAATGAAAATATTACTGTTTTTGTAAATCCAATAGATTTTGTTTGACGTCTTTATGCGAGCGCTTAGTATTGCCGTCGAATTCGTTGATGAGTTGTCGCGTTCGGTCGCATTCACTCTGAAGAGCGGCCACTTGTGAGACCTGATCCTGAAGTGCAAACAATTCAAATCATTATTAACTCAATTCAAGAGAAATAAACAGTAAATTGTTATAATAAGAGAATGAGTAAAACATGTATAACTCGTTAATAGTCTGAATAAGAAAACTATTCTTAAAAATGTCAATAAAGAGTAAAATTAATAAACAAAAAGAGAGAAAAAACATAGATTTAGTGTTAAAACCAAACGTTAACTAACTTTTCGTTGGTTTTCCATATCAGACATCAATTGAGCGACGATTTTCTCATTTTGTTTCAATTGTTTCTCTTTTTCATTGATAACTAAATTGAATTCATTTAGTTTCTGCTGTTCTGTCAGAGAGACTGATCCCTGAAGTGAACTCAACTGCTGGACAATCGCTATCTTCAGTTCATGGACTTTATGAGAGAAAAGTTTCTCCAATTCAGAGACCGAAGCGCCAGTCGTTTCGCCGGTCTTTATATTCTTCAGAGCCGTCAAAATCTCCATCCATTCGGGACTTTGGATCAGATGTCGAAGAGTCGAGCTATAGCTGGCCATTACGGGTGAGTCGACGAGATCTGCCATCGCGGCGATGAAGGAGTCGAGGTCTGAGTGCATCTTCTTTATCACGTCTTCGTATTTGGAGCACTCGAGACGTGTCGAACGGATCCCCTTTCGGATGTCATCAATGATACCGAACTCCTGCTTAATCTCGTCCTCCAACTGTTGTTTGCGTTCTTTGGCCAGAACTGCCTCTTCTATACCGAACTCCTGTTCCTCGACTCTACTCTTCAGACACTTTCGCTGTTCTTCTAACTTCTTAATGGACGCCATCTTCTCATTGCAGTCCTTCTCCAGACTCTCCAAAATTGTCTGGTTTTGGTTGCGATGGGCTGTCATTTCAGTCATGTAATTGTCATAAGACTTGATGTCCGCGTCATATGTCTGTATGGTTTGCGGCAATTCACGGATCTGTTGGATCTCTTCATCCAATTAATTGTCTGGTTTTGGTTGCGATGGGCTGTCATTTCAGTCATGTAATTGTCATAAGACTTGATGTCCGCGTCATATGTCTGTATGGTTTGCGGCAATTCACGGATCTGTTGGATCTCTTCATCCAATCGCTGCACTTCCTGTTCGAGCGCTTCCGACTCGTCCATCATCTGTTCGAAGTCATCTTCGGTGCCATAAGTCTTGACAACGAGATCGTGAAGACATGCGTCCAATTGGTCGCCTTCGAAGCCCTCGTCATTAGCTCTGAGACAAAGCCGAATCAATTCAGTCCTCACATCGATCTCTCCCTCGAAGTTGGGAAAGAAAGACCGAATCGGATCCATGAGAAGCGTATACTAGAGGGACAGACATCGAGATTATCATTAAAAAAGTTAAAATAAGACTCATTAGAGATAAGACTAGACTTACAGAGAGTGAGTCGACGAGCCATTCAAGCATTCCTAAGACACTTCCCAGCGCTCGACCGCTCGTGAAGGACACGAGATCCGACTTCTTCACGGGAAACGGATACTCGAGTGAAGCCATTATCTTCGGTATCTCGACGTCCATCGGAACGATCTTTCCTCGGATGCCATAGCAGTTGAATAGGAATTCAAAGACATTTGCGATCTCTTTCACTGTCGGACGGCTGCCGAAGGTCTTCGAGATAGGACTCGGGTATTGATTTTCGGTCAGAAACGCCACCACTTTTGCCACACACTGGCGATGGTATGACATCTCACTGAGCGGTCGGCTGTCCTTCACGTGTCCACGACTGCCGCCAATACTCGAACGGCGGGACGACTGGGCGGAGGAACAGCTCTGCGGCTGATATGAGGCGCGATTGTGTTGTGGCGTCAGACCAAAGAGCGGACCAATCTTTGAGGTGACACTCTTTCTGGCGCTCGAGAAGGGGTTGTTTGGCCTGAAATTGCCAAACACTGACTGCCGGCCGCCGGCGGCGCCCGACTTGGCGTTACTGCTCAGCCGCGAAGAGCCGCCACTTCCGGGGAAATTGAAAAAATTGTTGTTTTGCAGTGTCTTTCGCGAGGAAGCGGTCGACGGAATGGACGACATGCTGGACGTGGACTGCGTTTTGGGCCGACTCTGACCGCCACCCCCTCCGCCTCCGCCCGACTGCTGACCTCCGTATCCCTGCGGCGGACGTATACCCGACTGACGGCCACCGAAACCGAAGTTTGACTGTCTGTTCATCGCTGACCACAACTCACACCACAGATAGTCACTGAAAATCAATGCAAAACATTGTAAAATACATTACATTTCAAACACAATTCAAACGCTTATTCATACAAAATCAGTGATTAATAAACACATCAATCAATCGATACTTACGTTATATTAATTACAAATCAAATTACAAATGAATTAAAAGTCAATTAAAAGTTTGCAATTAATTACAAAAAAACACATCAAAAACAACTGAAAACACAATAAAAACCGTTCGAAACGTTTTGAATGCAATTCAATGAGAAATGCCTAACGATTTGGCGCCCAAACAGCCAATCAATGGCAGCCATTCGCTCAACACTACGAGTCATTCACAAATACGTTACGCGCACTCGCAGTACAACTCCGCGCGCCTCACGTCAGCTATATATCCGTAACGTTGTCTGCGAATGGCGTCCAATACTCCATATGTTGTGACGGAGTAAACGAAAGTCTATTTATAGCCAGCATTTGAAATACAGTATAACTGATGGCATAGATTCAGACCCTTTTCAAATAACATTACATAAACCTATTATAACGCAAAGTCTATACATTAAAAAGGCCTAAACCCTCGACAACGGGTTAACAGCGATGACTGGCATTCACTCTCTAATTGCGTAATGCATTGCGTATTAAATATTATTGAAAACAATATTTACGCCAAAAAAGAGTGGAAAACAACTAATCGTTGATTACATTAAACGAGTGTTTCATTCAATTAATTGCAATCAAAATCTGTAATCAAAGCCCGAAATCAATTGATTTAGTGATCAAAACGTGTGGCAAAAACACGG